GCTCTTCAGTTAGTGGTGGGCTTGAAATTGTTTGAGTAAAATGTGTATTTTTGCTGTCGGCCTGCATTCAATATTAACAGAAACATTCTTAAGTGAATGCAGTGAACATTACTTTTAGCTAAATTAATAGTAAAACATTAACTCTGCTTCTGAAATTATTACCCTAGACTTGAAATATCATAAAAAAAAATAACACAGTATTTCTGTACTTTTGGGTAAAAAAAAAGTACTATGCCTGCCACTGACCTGACATTTGCGGTATCTTCTAAATTAATATGAATGTTTATTTACACACAGTAGCTATCAACTACAGAACCTGTATAGACAAAGGATGAATACAAGTACGTAGGCGTTGTTACTGTACAAGAGAAAATGTGCACCTGCTGGTTGAAAGAGGTGGCAAATTCATAGACCACTGGGTCTGATTAGTGTTTGATTTGTGTGTGTGTGTGTGTGTGTGTGTGTGTGTGTGTGTGTGTGTGTGTGTGCGTGTGTGTGCCATAGAAACAGCCAATTAACTAATGTACCTGTACCTGGAACAATCCAGCCTGAAATCACATACTTATTTTATGGAAATTTCTATTAAGTGCTCTCGCGTGATGGTTACTTTTTTCATTAAATATGCATAATTTACTTTTGTAATGTTTATATACATAATCAGCATTTGTCCCATGACAAATCAACCAAAACAATTTCAAACTAAGATTAAACTGACAGTAGTACTGTCATTTTGTTTCGACTTACTTCTGACTGGCATACTATGAATGTAATTGGTTTACTTCCTGCTTGGTGACACTGTTAACCCTTCTGTAGAGTAAGATGAAAGTGACTGCTTCTGCTTCTCTCTTCCTGTGGGGCTCTGGAGCAGCTGTGCATCTACATAATTGCGTATGTGTGTAGCCTTGTTTATATATATATACTTGTGAGGACGGAACACCGAGAACACACGGCTTTGCAGGGACCGGAAGTCATTTGTGGGGGAAGCTGGAGCCTCACGAATAATTGGCTAAATTTTACAAAAATGACGGGGTGTAAGGTTAGAGCAAGTGCTGGCTTTGGTTAAGTGTTAGGGTAAAGGTTCAGGTTAGGTGGGAAGCAGGTTCTGGTTAAGGTTAGGGTAAGTCTCCTGGAAAAGCTGTGGACAGACCCTGTAAGTGCCAACCACAAAGATGTGTGTGTTTGTGCGGTTAATGGTGCATTTTCTTTTTATGTTCCATCACCAGGAATGGGCAGCAATGGCAATCTCCATGGCAACAGGAGTACAAAAGCTGAAGAGATCCATGGAAGAGATGCATGTCTGTACAGTATCTGTGTTTCTCCTCATGAAGACTATGATGTATCAAGTGGACTTTAAATGGACCTGCACTATTGTTTTCCTTTTCTTTGCATGTAGATTTATTACTGTTTATTAAAAATTAAGGGACAGACATATTTTGGTTCTAACAGTGAACAGCAAGTTGAATCTTTACGAGGCCATGCTTATCAAAGCTGCTGACATCTACATGGATTGTTCCTGAGGTGGGCACTCAGGTATTGGAAGTTGTTAATCATGTGCCTCTTTCAGACTAATCCATATAGAACAATTGCCTAAAACATTTCAAATGTGAAAATCTATGTGAAATCCTCACACACATTGATTCAGTTTAATCTGTTCTTGTTCCAAAAAGTTACAAAGGCAGCCTCTGCTTTAATCTCAATGAGTTCAGTCACTTTCACACTGGCCCACACAAACACTGAGAGGAAAGATGGAAGTGTGATGGGAGAATTCTCACTGTGGTTGATGATGTATTTTTACAAAGCTTTCTTCCTGTCTACTTGCCTGTTACCATCTTTGTTGTCTCACTACATGTGTTGAGCCCAGTTACATCATGACAGTTTACTGCTTGAATGTATAAGCAACACTGAGCATGAACGTGTCTATTTCTGTCCTTACATTTCACACAGAGTTGACTATATTGTGTGGTTTCCTTAAACCAGCTATAATCAATATTTTTATAATAACATGTCAAACAACAGCTGATGATGATTACTTTGCTTTTCCTGTTGCCTGGGGCCAAAAATCAGCTAAAGCAGAACATTAACAAGGGGAAAATGATAATAAGTTATGTAAAAAGTAT